TTCGTTTGCTTTGAGATTCGAGGAAAGAGAGACGCGATCCATTCTTCAACCCAAGTAAAGGTGAAGTTGTGCAGCCAGCCAGAAGGTTAGAAATCAGGTTATGCAACAGCGAAGCGGAATCCCAACAGCAAGCTGCCCGGGAGCTCGCATTGGCGAACACTAAGGTAAGCAATGAGGGAGTCATTGGGACTAAGTTCCTCAAGCCCAACACGTCAACAGTCAGCAGTGGCAGAGATGTTCTGTTCCAAAGTGTCGCAGGTGACTTCATGGGCCAGGGTGCGCCCCCAATGTCTCAGGCCTCTCTGCGACATTCATACTTGCATATGTGGTAGGTGCGATCAGATTCTTCTATGAGGTGCCGTTGCGTTGTGGCTGCTTCGAGGCCTTGAAACAGAAAGTGGACGCGGAGATCAAGCGAATTGTTGACGAGCAGTATCAGCGCGGCATGGCGCTGCTGAGGGTAGCTTGCTTGAAGAAGGTTTCCAACATGCTTTGGAAGCAGCAGGAATATGCAGACAAAGCAGGACAACATGTACCTCTTGGACACACTGGCCAAAACCCTGATGGAGGAGGAGAAGGTCTCTGGCAGTCGCCCCAGAGCACGACTCGTATCTGGGCCGTGCCCCTGTATCATGCTTTCCGGCGGCTGCTGTGCGGGCGCCACTCCTGACCAGGTGAGCAGCTGATGAAGATGATCAACCAGGCGGCTGCTGAAGGTGGGGAGGTGAAAGTGCAGGCCGGCACATGCTGGTGATGGTCTGACCGCTGCAGCTTCAGGCAAGCTGGTGATGGGAAACAGCAAGATGGCAGTGGCAGCATATGCAGGGGAGAGAGCCGCTCCCCAAGCTTACAAAAAGACACTGTCGGGCGGTGTGGTGAGGCAATGTGAGGCATGTGCTCCAGCAGATTCAGGTTGAGACGACCGCCGATGGCACACTTGCAAAGAAGTCGCAGTGTGTGTGCTCTGGGCCGCAGAGATTGCAGGCTTCGTGGGGTCTTGTGGGTCTTATTTGTACACCAAGGCACCCTGACAA